TTTAAATATTTATACTCACTTCGTATATATAAATGTTATTTTGCTTTACACTATATAACTCAAGCGTCAATGAAGATATCGAAAAAACTAAGCTACGTGTTATGATGATTTATAGCAAGCATAACGGTCGGGATCTTTCCCTACTTTATATACTCATAACAATTATTATCAGCTTATTAGTTGACTTTATGTTGAGCATTACCAGTTGTAGAGATAGATTTGTACATAAAGTTCAGAGAAAATCTTCATGTATTATAATGCATTTCAGTTCCAAAATTGGGTGAAAACAGTCCACACATTTCCGTACCGAAAATGATTAAAATTTACAGTACCAGTATTTCTTTAAAAAAAATATATATACATTTATTTTCGTAAAAGTAGAAAGCCGATTTACCGACAGTCGATTTGCAGTAATGTGATCTGACCGCTCATATTTAAGATGATGAAATCTTTCGAGCAACATACTCTCACAGTAGTCCGAAATAATATAATATAAATACGACATCTGACGAAGTAGCGTAGCAGGTGTGAAGTCGTTTTCGAATGAATTCTCATGTTAAGTATTTTAAGTTTTCAAGGGCAGGCACTGTTGACATTCTTTAAACAGACTCAACTTGTACGAGGTGTGTTCAAAAAGTAATGCGAATTTTTTGTTTCTTAAGAAAGTGATTATTTTTCATGAATATCTATTTTGTCCCCTTTAAAGTAATCAACCGTAGATATAATCCACTCATGCCAGCGTTTTTTCCATTGCTCGAAATATTTGAAAACGTAATTTTTCATGATCTTGTTCAGCTCCTCCTTCGATGCAGTATTTATCTTCTCAATCGTAACGTAGCGTTGTGCTTTCATGGGCCTCTTCAGTTTTGAGTTTTGAACAGTTTATATTAAGTTTTCGGGATATAGTTATGAAATTTTGCACACTTTTTTTTCCTCAAGAAGCTGGCCATTTATCGGAATCGTCAATATCGGATCACTATGGCATATAAATGACATATAAACTGAACGATTGGAATTAAGTCTCTTTATTGATAACTTTTTCGTATGATGAGATATCTTCGCGAATTGTATCACGAATTATTCTCCAAAGCAACGGTACGATTTTCGAAGAAGTTGTTCAGATCATATAAACTGACCGATCAAAATTAAATTGTTGTATGGAAACTTTTGTATTTGTTAAAATTAATAAAAGAATTGATGAAAAAAATAATATTTTCTTGAACAGTAAATTTTGATTTTTAATTATATTAAGTAGCTACGATCGTACCCCATACAAATTTTTTTTAAACTCAGTTACTTGAAAATGATTAAGTAAATATTTGCGCTCTTTGACCCACTAAAACTCGTCGAGTGTTGTAAGAATGCTAGTTGAAGTTATCAAGAAAAAAGATATTAAATTACACAGGTTGTAATATATACAAACAACTTCTTAGTAGGTTAATGTAAGGGGATGGACATATATTCCTTACTATATGTATATACAGACATGCTTCCACTCTGTTCACTTGGAAAAATCTCAGAATGTCATATTTTTCAAGTTAAATGATTAGCTCCTTAACTTACATTACAAATAATCACACGCCATACATTCAACAACAACACACGTGGTAATGTTAATATATCCCTCAACAGAAATTCAGTGGGTTCTTCTTTTGAAATTATTGCATTATAACTTGTTCGACATTATTTAACTCAACCTTAAATTAAGCATTAAATATAAAGTAATTTCTATCAAATCGATATTTTTTAAGATTTTCGATATCAATCGTCGATATTTTACGAATCACGTATGATATGTATTTTCTTCTACTGTTCAGCTAGCTTATAGGTATTTACCTATAAAATTCTTTTATTCAGAACTAGTTTTTGAACTAAGCATTGACAATGAGTTATAAAGTTAGAAATATAGTTATTCGTTTTCAAAGCTTCTTAAATCGATCTAAGATCAGTCGGTTCAATCGTTGTATCCCTGAAATCGTTCAACTCTCTGCCAGTAGTCCTTCGTATGTACCGTAAGCCAACGTTAAAGAACGCTTTACTGCGAAACACCTCGAATACATAATTCTGAAATATGACTGGAACTAGTAGATTACTGGCGACTGGTCTACTGAAGATATAATCCTAAGCTCTTTAATCCTAAAAAAAGTTTCCAGCTTTTTCGAACTTAACAATAAAGTCAGATCTTCGTAGTCTCTCTGTGTGCCCAATAATAGAAAATTTAACTAGAACTCCACTAAGCATTAACTTTAAAAGCTTTCAAACAAAAGGAGGCATGGAAGCCCGGTTTTGACCTGGTTAAAATTTAAATATGTAAAAATAATGGTATCGCAAAATATATGACTCATAAATGAATACGAGCTACATAAGAAAGGAAGGTTAGGTTATATAATAATTTAACATAAAGAGCTGGAAATCTTCGGTGCTATTATTGCCTGGATAGTAGATACATAAAACACTGAGCAGTTTGTAAAGATTTCCGCGATTCCATGAGCGAATGTTATAAAGCTCGTTCACCTTTAGAAGAATTTGAGCTTTGTGTTGGTTTAAATTTTCTTTCTTTTTAAATTTTTCGAAGCTTTTAAAAGAGCTGTTGTTTTTGTCTAGAAAGTAAATTTCATTTGAATATAATAGAACCCATTTTTTAACTCGCAGTAAACTTCCTTCTGTGCTACCTTTTTTAGAGATATTACTTCTATGATCTTCAGCAGATCTGTGCACATTTCACTGCTCATTTCCATTGTGCTTAAATCGGAAACATATGTTCTACAATATCAGTTCAACTCTTTCCCACCTCGAATGGGGTATAACAAGCCACAGATAGAGAATATGCGGTACTGCGGAAATTCGTATACTCGTAACTCGAAGTAGAATTTAGAGCAAATTTCTTGCAGGGCAATTTGATAGGTGCTTTAACATGGCGGCACTTCAGGACAGCTATCCAGTACACACACACTTATACGCTGCGGCTCACCTGGTGGTTTACCGCAATGATGTGAACACTCGAAATTGACCACCGTATTGCGGCAAAACTGTGTGTCATTTTCGCTGCGCTTGTTGTTTGTTTATGTTCTTAATTTCTGTTTTTTTTTTTGCTTTTACTTCGCAAATGTTGTGCAACAAAACTGATAAACTGCTGCTCGCTAGACTTCGAGGCAAGTGGACCAAACATATAGGTACATACATACATACATATGTGCGCTACACTCTGTAGAAAAACACTTGACAATAACAATAAGAAGAGTGACACTCGTGTGCAACAAGTAATTAGCCAGCGTTCAAAAACAGTTTAGTATGTGTGTATATAGTATGTATGTATGGGTGCATGTATGTATATATGTTATGCGCTGTCAGCAAACATTGGAGAACAGCTACAAGTATGCTTTGCCTACAAGTGTGAAAAATGAGACCTCAACAATGCCGGTGAGGTGATGCCACAAATTGTTGCAAGCGTACGCTGTCGTTTGTTTTTGTTGTTGTAATCAAATGAGTAAAATATAAGCATAGACAAGCGCCGCTGGGTGTGCGTATATGCGCTTGTACACCTGTGGCATACAACATAAGCACCGTCACTAATGCTGCATGCCAACACTACATGCCACACACAAACATACTCATACTCAAGAGTGGTGTGGTGTGCAGCATATACACGTGTATGTGATTAGCTATAATTGGCACGCGGTTGATGTGTGTAAGATTATCCTACGCAAACACTTTTCTCCTGTTTACACTTTGCCACTACTTGTTGTGGCAACAAGCCAAGTGGCGCCAGCTACTAATAAGAATGACAATATTACCTATAACAACAAATTTCGCGTTACTAGCGACAACACTCTGATTAATACCGTGAGAACCTGAGTGGTACTAACGTCAATATCGTGCAATAGCAACAACAACAACAAGAGCAAAAATAACACTAACATACAAGTGGAGGGGATGAAGATAGCTGGAGTGATCCTTTATTGTCGTTTGAGTGACATTAGCGGCATTCAGCGCTCAATTGTAGACACACTACACGTACAGTGTTGTATTTGCATGACTATAGGGGGAAAATATTTAACCAAATCTTATTCAAATTGAACATAATTAATCTCTGAAGAGTGAAATATTAGTAGCTTTATACCATTGATGTCACTCAAGTAATAAAAGTTACACAACAATAAGTCTCCTAATGTTCCCCGCAATCTATTACTATGTGCCTCAACCGCGCCTTTGGATTGGTGATCAAATGCAAACACCATCACAAATAAGAAAAAACGTTAACTTCGGTTGCGCCGAAGCTATAATACCCTTCACAAATACAAAGGCCCCTTACAAGAACTTGATTCCGAACGTTCAATTTGTATGGCAGCTATATGATATAGTGATCTGATCTGACCAATTTCTGTGGAGAATAATTTGTTGCCTTAAGCAATAACTCGTGCCTAATTTAGGGAAGATACCTCGTCAAATAAAAAAATTTTCCATGCAAGCACTTCACTCCGATCGTTCAGTTAATATGGCAGCTATATGCTATAGTCATCCGATCTATACAATTTCTTCGGATATTAGATTAATACTTTAAATAATAATACATGCCAAATTTCGTGAAGAGACCTCGTCGAATGAAAGAGTTTTCTATACGAGCACTTCATTCCGATTGTTCAGTTTGTATGGCAGCTATATGTTATAGTCATCCGATCTGAATAATTTCTTCGGAGATTACATTGTTGCCTCAAATAATAATCCGTGCCAAATTTCGTGAAGATATAGTCATCCGATCTATACAATTTCTTCGAGGATTGGATTAATGCCTTAAATAATAATACACTCTAAATATCATGAAGATACCTCGTCGTTGTTAGAAAAGGACAGGTGCAAAATTTCAGATCGATAGCATAAAAACTGAGGGACTAGTTTGTATATATACAGACAGACGGACAGACAGACAGACGGACATGGCTAAATCAACTCAGCTCATCATGCTGATCATTTATGTATATATTTTATAGGGTCTCCGACGTTTCCTTCTGGGTGTTACAAACTTCATGGCAAACTTAATATACCCTGCTCAGGGTATAAAAATATTGGACATATTATACTAAGGAATCCCAATTATAAATAGTACAGTCTCAAGGATGGTATGTATGTATTGTATGAACTCTTAATACCCTTTCCATAGATCATTAACATCTTACTAAAGAAGAGCATTCAACTATTTGCACAATATGGCTGTATTGATGATGATGTTCTTTCACTAGATTCTCCTTGCACCAGACCTAACATATCTATCACTAAATACTTAAGCTCAGAGTTACACAGGTTTTCACAGAGGTTTCTTTTAATATATCTATTATATTCACTCAAATAAAATAAAGCCTTCTTTAATCTGAACTAAATTTTTTATAAATACTCACCGACCCAATGAAGGCAAATTGCGTAAGTATCTAAACATTTACAGAAGGGAATATTTGTGTGGAAGCAAAAGATACCCCTGACAAGAGTTAAGGCTTAAAAGTAACGAAGCTCGATATTTAGATAAATTCGAAATAGAATTTTTATCAATGTATTACTTATATGTACAGACTGATAGCGAAATGAAGACCACATAACTTCAAAACAAACTGACATAACATTACAGAAACCATGCTATTAAACAGCCATCGGGTCCACCCATTACGAATGAAAACACTCTTTGTCAAAAAATTCCGGAACAATGATATAGATAAACCCCAAAAGCACCAGTCAACCGGAACAAACGACCGACAGGGTAAACTAAACTGGCAAACAAACGAACAATTACAATAGACCGGCAGACAAACGTCAAAAACGCAGCCGAATCAACGAAATTGATGAAATGGAAACAAAACAACAAAAAGAAATTGTGAAATACGAGAAAAAAGCACTAGTCGAATAATTGTAGGCAGAGTTAAAAGAAAATATCATGTTTTTGTAATTTCGCACTTCATTTAGCGTTTAATTAAAAAGTATGAGTTTCTTACGGGTGGGAAACTCTTTGTAAGCAGAGTATGAAAAAACAAAGTAGAAAAGCACGAAAGTGTAAAAAGAAAAAACGTGAAATTAAGTCTGTGATTGAAAGCTGGTCAGCACTGTCAAGGCGCTTACAACAAAACATTCAATACAACCGAAAGTATTGTGTGGCAAAAGTGAAATAAATTGTATGAACAACGCGCATAGCATTTAATTATTGGATAAAAGTAAGTGATGCTCTCAAAAGAAACGAAACAAAAAAAAAATACAAATTAGGCATGAACATAACAAATAAGGCACGTACAGTCGGCCAATGAGCTATGACGACGGCTGAGAATTGATGCTGAAAAGAGGCCTAAGAGAAACATAAATACTACCCTTTTGCCGGCGAAACAATTGCTTGCATTGTTGTTGGACTTAAAAAATAAAAACAATTCTTCATATTACAACGAAGTTTGTGTGAAATAGTTTTGAGAGTTTAGCAAAAAAAAAAATGTCATACTAGCAGCTGACTTTGAAATGAAACGATGACTTCGCCGATTGTCAAGAACAAATCTGCTGACGCTAGTTTTTAAATGAGCTATATTGGTACAAGGTGTACCAAAAGGAAGTGTAAATTGAATTTTTTACTTCTTAAAACTATTGAAATATATGAAGGTAATTGGCTCACTTGATGCGCACTCCGGAAATATAGTCATTAAATTTCAAATTTTCCTTTTCTATTTGGGACTCTGATAACGAACCTTATACTAAGCATTAGAACTACCTAACAGATATATGTAGTGTGCTGAATTTACCCACATCTCTTTTGAATCAACACTAAAATACGTCACACAAAACTCGCATTATTAGGGATTTAACAACATTCCTTATATCATAAAATTATTCCGGGGATTAGTTTATTACCTAAGAACTGGAATTAATATCTCCATCAGGATCCGTCGGTTCATATTAAGAAGTCTGAAGATATAGTTTTCACATATTTTTTCATCAAATTTCTGCCAGGGCTATCAGGCTTTTACAGTATTTATCCTTGGTAGACACTTTTTATATGAATCTCTTTATTTAATGTTTAAAGACTAGAATCACCCTTGGTAGTGTTTTCTATGGTTATGATCGCAGAATACAGTATTTTTCGAAAGTAAAGTATTTCCTTATTTGCATATTCGGAACAGGGTATATTAAATTTGCCACGATGTTTGTAAGACCCAAAAGGCAACATCGGATACCTTATAAAGTTTATATATAAATTATCAACGTGACGAACTGAGTCGATTTAGCCATATCCATCTGTCTGTCTGTATACGAAATACACGAGGTAGTCCCTCATTTTTTGTGATATCGATCTGAAATTTTGCACACGTCCTTTTCTCCCCAAAAACTGCTCATTTGTCGGTACCGTCATACAAACTGACCGATCAAAATTAAGAAAAATATTTTTAAAACCCTTTTTCCTCAGCCTCAGTTGTTCAGGTAGTCTGGACGTATTTTCGAATCTAACAATAAAGTTAATGAACAACTAGAAAAGGGAAACAAAACTTGAAACTAATACTAAAGAACCCTGTATCGCAGATCATAAAACTACACTTGTCTGCCTAATAAGCAGCACTTGTCATCATTTCGCTTAGAGAAAATTGTGAAGATTTGTTTGTCTTTTGTAAAACATTTCCGTGGCATAACAGCAACAACAATGCGGCAAGAAATATTTATACATAAAAGGAACGCTTTGTTTGGCTGGAAACAATAAGCGGCGATAGTTTTATCCAAACAAACGCGCTTGAATCCAGTAGTAGCACTTGATTGCTTATTTTTCATAGCTCAAATATACACTCAATGTGTTTTATTTACTTGTGAGATTTATGTTTATTCACTTTTTGATATCTGTTTGATTTAGTTTATTTTTTTAGCATTGTTGTTGTTGCTGTTACTTTGATGATCATATGACAAACAGTTGGCTTTCACAGCTGCAGTTGTATTTATAATAAAAATTGTTAAATGTATTATGATGTGTGGTGTATGGGAAGTCATAACAAGCAGAATTAGTATACATTATAATTGATTAAGAAATAACCTAATATGTTTCCCATTTCTTAAAACTATTCTAAAATGTTTTTTGGAAGTTTGAGTCTCAAAACCTCATTATTGCACATTTATGTGTAAAACTTTATACTCATACTATCTTAAGACTAATGGTGGGCAATAGCTCCAATTTGATGCAAGTTCTGGGATTTTCTATTCTGTGCAATCTAGTACTCGATAAATCAACCAGCATTCATAGCCTAATAGTCGATGAACGAAGACGAGACATAAAAAGTTCTAGATTTACTATTCACTGAAAGGACTGATTAAGATATGCATACCAATACTAGAAATACTTCTTGCAGTGTACGATTTGTTTCATTCTCGGATAATATATAACCGATTTAATTCCAAGCTAATTAATACCAAATCAAACTATACCAATTCCAAGTGTGAAACACGAATTTTCTTTTATACATAGAAATTATTTTAAAAGTAATATAATTACATGTTGAAAAGTCGACGAGCAGCTTCTGTCCTAGAGAAGAACGCAAGAAACCTAGTGATCTACTTGCCCTGAGCAAAGTTCATCTCACCGCCCTGTCCAATAGGCATTCATCCAGTAAGACATGAAATCTTATCAGACGCTAGTTGTCAAAGTTGTATGGTGGAGGGTGAGGTGGAAACTTCCAGACACTTTCATCTCCATTGTCCGGCTCTTGCAAGATTAAGGTCAAAACAACTCGGTAATCTTACCAACGGCGAACCAGAAGACAAAGCCGAAACTAAACAAGTAAGGAAGGGCTAAGTTCGGATGTAACCGAACATTTTATACTCTCGCAAAGTCAAATGGTATACTCGTTTGAGATTTCTTTGTGGATTGACTGATATTTTCGGTAGAAGGTCAACTATAGGCACTGGGGTCCACATATTTAGTACTTAGGGGTTTGAACAGTTTTGGTTCGATTTAGACAATTTTTGGCCGCAGTGTGGCATACTTTAATTGCATTATTCACGCAAAGTTTTACCCCGATATAATCATTGTTACCTGATTTGCATAGTGGAAAGTGAAAGAATCAGATGGAATTTAAAATGGTGTTACATGGGAAGTAAGCGTGATTGTAGTCCGATTTCGCCCATTTTCGCACTATGCCATAGAAACATGAAAAGAACGTTATGCACCAAATTTGAAATCGGTTGAGCAGATCTCAAGATATGGGTTTTCACCTAAAAGTGGGCTGTGCCACGCCCACTGACTAATTTTGAACGCGGTTCCTATAAAGCCAATTTATACCATCTGAGAGATAAGATTTAATGTCTCTGGCGTGTTTAGTGCTTGATTTATCGCGCTTTTAGTAGTTTTTAACAGTACCGTTATATGGGGAGTGGGCGGAGTTGCCATCCGATTTCAACTATTTTTACACTGTAGGGAGAGGTTCTAAAAACATTTGCTTCCAGCGAATTTTGTTATTATAGCATTAGCGGTTTAGGAGATATGCACATAAAACCTATTAGAGGCGGGACCACGCCCACTTTAAAAAAAAAAGTTCTAACTGCAGATGCCCCTTCCTAATGTGATCCTGTGTACCAAATAACAGTCTTGTATCTTATTGCGGAGCTTAGTTATGGCAAGTTATTTGTTTTTGATTAATGGCGTTTTGTGGGCGTGGCAGTGGTCCAAGTACGCCCATCTGCAATACCAACCGTCTCACAGTACCAAGAAACATGTCTACCAAGTTTCATAAAGATATCTCAATTTTTACTCAAGTTACAGCTTGCACGGACGGACGGACGGACGGACAGACAAACGGACGGACAGACAGTCACCCGGATTTCAACTCGTCTCTTCATCCTGATCATTTATATATATATAACCCTATATCTAACTCGATTAGTTTTAGGTGATACAAACAACCGTTAGGTGAACAAAACTATTATACTCTGTAGCAACAGGTTGCGAGAGTATAAAAAAGCCGTCTCAACAACTGTGATGGTCACAAAGCGCTTCGTCGATCAGTCTTATGATCCAGTTTTTACGAATTTTAGATACAACAACGGACCGGCGTTCTAAGCTGTTCAAGTAAGATCCTTCTTAGGGTCGACCTCTCAACCTAACCTAATCTAACATTCTGAGAGTGTTCGTGCAGGAAGTGGAATTTCTGAGTCAAAGAATTCAAATTTGAGTATTTATTGTAGGAATCTATATAAATGATATTTATAAAGGCAAGTTGGAATGCTTCTGTATAGAAATTCGTTCCTTAGATCATAAAATAAGAAGTTTAAGCGAACAATTTACAGTAAAAGTATTTATCAAGGAATTGTAAACCCCTTAATTGATTAAAGCGCTTTTGTAGAAATACTGCAACAAACCAAGTCTGCATAGATTGTTTTGCAACACCTAATTATTGCCTGCATTTCGGCAAATAACTCGGGCTTTATTGAATTACAAGAGGTCGTATTCAAAATATGCGAGAACATTAGTACTAGTATTTGTTTAATTGTCCCGATAGGGAGAGACAAACTCACAGCATTGATTGTCATCGATCGCAAGCAAGAGAATTTAAGGAAATTTTTTAGACCGGATCCACACAGCATATGGCTACCATACTAACTGAATGATCAGAATTAAGTACTTGTATGAACATTTTTATTTTACAAGATATCTTCCTATAGCATACACCGTACATAGCAGCCATATAAACTGAACCATCAAAATCTGGAGCAGATCTTCTTTACATTTATGAAAACCAAGTAACAAGAGCGGATAATAACGTAAAGGTCTTTTTTTCGGGAAATTACAAAAATACATATAAAGATTTCATTTAGATTTTAAATATACATAAACGTACATAGATTTCCAACCATAACTTCTTACATCCTCAAAATCTAGTAAGTCTTTGTTGCCAGCAGTTTTTACATTTGCCAGCATCTACGAGAAATCAAATCATCGTTTGCCGTCAACGCTTTCAATGCCACAACAAATCGAGTCCACAATTGCAAGTCAGCAAAATAAACAGAAACAGAACAAAGTCAGCCCAGTAGACATACACACAACCCTGCATACATACACATCACCCACACAATCGAGCATGCAGTTCATTGGCGTTTCGTCACGTTCTTGCAACGTGTGTTTCCATTTAAAACGGCACAAACTCATAACTCATAAATGCGGCAGCATAAACGCCGTGATGGCAAAGCGACGACAATG